GAGGGCCGCCCACTTGGGTCTCTTCCTGTGCCTAGAAGGCTACTGTATGCCCCAGGGGAGGCCCTCCGGTCACAACCTCATCCTGCCTAATTGCCCCCATCTCCAGAGAGCCATCACAGTGGGGCAAAGGTGCCCCAGGGTGCTCACAAACCCGCAGCCCCAACAACGGTCGTTAGTATTTTTGTGCTTGTCTCTTGGTCCTCTTGCAAGGCGATGTTAGGTTCAGGGCAGTCTTAGAGGTGGCAGGGAGGAAGAAATGAGACGCTTTCATTTCCAGTGGGTGTTAAGGCCGGAGTTGGGAGCTGTCCATTTTCAGTGTTGCGTTTCCTTATTTTGACCTTTGGCAAAAAGTTGTTGGTGTCCTGGTGTGGGCTTGAGAAAGAGGAAGAAGTTAGGTATGTTAGACCACTACTGCTCTGTGCTAGGCTACTAGGCAGGTGAGGGTGGGGGTCACCCCATCTCTCCGGTAGGGGACGGGGAAGCAGCGAAGTCCCTGTGTGCTGAGGGAGATGCCTGCAGAGGCCGAGGCTGAGGAGTGTCGTGGCCCTGGGGCATCGTGGCCCCAGGGTCGCCACCCAGACTTTCTCCCTCCCTCCTCCCTTCCCTCTTTCTTCCACCATTTGACTCCCACACCCTTGAACGTGAGGCTGGTGTGGAGAGGAACATGCTGCTTCGCTGGGAGCAGAATGCAGATCGGGATGGGTGAAAGCTGCCTCACCTGCGGTCACCCAAGGTACGTGGCCGGAGCAGGAAGTCCTTGTTCAAATGCGCTAACCCACTGTGCTTCCTTCTTTCTCTGTCTTTCTCCAGCCCCCAAAGACAATGAAGAGCGTGTGTTTAGGGAGCGCATGCGACCGAGGAAGAGGCAAGGGGCCGTCAGGCGCAGGGTCCACCAGGTCAATGGCCACAAGTTCATGGCCACTTACCTTCGGCAGCCCACCTACTGTTCCCACTGCAGAGACTTCATCTGGTAAGCCCTCCCTGCTGGGGACCTCTGCTTAGGACTCCTCTCTGGGACTGAGGTGGAGATGGGGGCGGGGAGATGATGGATTCACCTAACACGTTCCTGTGGCCTCGGATCTCATGGCACCTGCGTGGCTGTCCCACCGGGCGGCTTGGACTCTGGTGGTACAAACAGATCTAATCACTTTTATCGGTCTTTGTGCTCATAAAATTAATAAAAAACCACCCGGTGGGACAGTCTCACATGTACCACCAGTGGTCCAGGCTGCATGGCAGCGAGACATTGCAATTATGACCCTGTGTGACTGTGTTAAAATAGGCTGGTATAAATAAGAGAAGTTATTTTGTTGTGAAAGTTAATAATGGGGGAAGTAGGAGTTTTTGCCAGACAAAAATCATCACATTTAAATTTGAAATGGAGGTGAGATTTCTCTCATTAAATTTTAAATATGATGTATATTAAGGATTAGCCTTGGAAGGTGGCTGTGAGTGTAATTTTGATATATTTTTAGTGTTCTGCTTCTAAGATTTGGAAGATATATTTTAATAAGGAAAGAGCATTGCCTGTGCTGAATTTTATGATGATACAGAGCCAGAAGAAGCCTTGAAGAATGTGATAATGACAGCCAGGGTTTTCTTTAATAAAACAGATTGTAGAGCAGTTTCTCAGATTTTAAAACTTTCACTGGAATTGAAAAAATAATAAATTTCAGATAAAAATAAATTATACTGTGCACGTTGAGAGAGAGAAATACAGAAAATAAGCCGCAGTGGTGTGCTCTGCTCTTCCTCTGACTGCCGAAGACTTTTCCTCTGTGTGTGTGTGTGTGTGTGTGTGTGTGTGTGTGTGTGTGTGGTGCATGGGAAATAAAGGCAGAGAAGGAGCCGTGAAGAGTTTATCACCGGCGGTGATAGTGTAATGGTACTTTTGGGAAGAATCCTTTTCTTTCAGAAAGCTGAGTTGAATACTTAGAGTTTGCTAAAAACTAATTCTGAAGAAGTGGGGAACAGGCCAAGGGCAGAGATGGTACGGGCCGGCCGCTCCTCATTGACGGTGGGAGCTGGACCCTCACAGGGTCTGTTCTCTTTGCTTTTCCAATAAGGGCTTGAACTTTTCCATGGCAAAGTGAAAAATCCCAGGCTGCAGGCCTCTGGGGTACCAGCGCGTCCTCAGCAAGCACTCTCGCTGCACATAGTGGGTTCTCAGGTTCTAGAATGGTCCAGGAGGCTGCCTGGAGGAGGTGGCATCTCTTCTGATGAGTGCTTTGATCCAGTGAGGGTGGTTGGCCTCCAAGTAGTGGAGCGGATACAGGGCACTGATCTCATTATGCTTGGAGGAGGAATTTCAATGGCTATCACCCCATGCCAGGTCTTAATCTTAAATATCAAAAACACCTAATTCACCCTTCCCATTGTCCTGTGAACCACGTAGTATGAGCTCCATCTCGCTGACAAGGACAGTGTTCAGAAATAGAGACCAGCTGCTGTCCTCTAGCTATGAGATGAGGGAGGCGTGAGTCCGCCTCAGCCCAGCCGGCCTTTAGACCTCATGCTTCGCCTGACATCTCACCAGCCTTTCTGGCCAGTGCCCTTGGGCTCTCAAAGCCAGTGTGAAGCGGCCCACACACTTGGGTGCAGCCCAGGAGGACAGATGAGGCGAGGTTTTACAGTAGAACCAGCCAGGGGACATGTGACTAGGGTTCCGCAGCCACCTAGATTCCTTAGTCATTTATCCTACACTTGTGGCATAAGGAAGCAAGTCACTGAGAGTAGCATGGATGTCTGAGATTACCTAGCTCAGGGACAATCCTGTGTGGGCAGAAACAGCCCCTGTTCCCAGCCCCATTCAAGGAGCACCTTTCCCTGTACTTCCCTGTGGCCTGAACACCGTGGTCCACACTTCGGTCGTGAGTTAAGTGGCTGGGTTTAGAGACCAAGGGTTCCTCTCAGCCTCTGCTGGTCACCACTGAGCCCTGTCTCCTGGGATGGGACCCCATCACTTCCAGCATGTCTCACTGGGCTGGGAACTGCATGGAGTTCTTGACCCCCTGAGGTTCTGCACATGGGTAGGTGGGCCTGACCACGTCCTTGCTGGCCTCCAGCCTTGCCCCAGGGACTCGGCTCTGGCTGTGGAAGGAATCGAGACTGTTTCTGGTCACCCAAACAGTAGCTTGACCCCCACCCCCTACGCCCAGTCCTGACCACAGACTTAGCTGTCTCAGAATGCCCAGGCAGTGTGCCTGCTAGCCACAGCCCTTGCCCACAGTCAGAGTCTGCGAGTGCCTCCTGGTGCTGAGGACGAGTGGTGCCTGTTTCATCCACAGTGACAGGAATGTTGGGCTGCCCGGGGCCTGTCCAGAGCAGGCAGGCTCAGGTGCAGCTTTCCAGTACCTTGGCACCGCTGGCACGACTGCCTGGTGTGGCCTTCTGGGTGGTGGCTCCTGGAGGCACCTGGGGAGGAGAGGTACCTGCACCCTGCAACGGGCTCTCAGGGCTCAGGGCAGCGGGGGTGGGGAGCATAGAGTGGCTCCGTGTTTCCTTTTCTTAAAGGACTGTGCTCTTCTTTTCAGGGGTGTCATAGGAAAGCAGGGATACCAGTGTCAAGGTAAGCAGTACTTTATGGACGCGACTTTGGACCCCCGTGGTTATTCAGACCGCTCTCGCTTGGGGAAGGAGTGCTGGGTCTGGCGCCACTTAGAGGCTCTCGGGCCAGGAGTTCCCGACCCTCCGGCCCGGGACCACTACCAATTAGGGGCCTGTTAGGATGTGAGCCGTGGGCAGTGGGCTGAAGCTCCAGCTGTGTTTGTGGCTGTTCCTCTGGCTCCATCTCCACCTGAGCTCCGCCTCCTGTCAGGTCTGCAGAGCGCTGGATTCTCCCAGGAGCACACATGAACTTGCTCCTGAACACTGTGCATGGGAGTTACCTGCCCTTTAGAGATACCAATCCCAAAACCCACCACCCCGCCCCATCCGTGGAAGAATCATCTTCCACTAGACCTGCGCCTGGTGCCATGTGCCAAAGCTTGGGGACTGCCACACTCTAAGATGGGCGTGTCCACCCTCTCCAAGAAGGGGAACCCTGCGGGCTTTGCCCCTGACCGTGTTACTCTGCGGATGTGCTTTGCTGGCGCCTTGCAGACGGGCAGCTCCTAATCCCCGCAGCACTCGGGTTCTGCACAGCAGCCCTGGTAGCTCTTTGATTTGATCTCTCCTAGGCAGGCGAGTGCTGCCTCTTTGGAAGTTTGTTTTATACTGTGTAGGCCTGTTCCCTGCCAGCTCCCTGAAGTACTCTTACCTGCCTGTTTCAGTCAAGATCACCGAATAGTTCTTGTCAACTCTTTTTTTTTTTTTAATCTTCACCGTTAACTCTGAAAAAATTTAAAGCTCAGCCAGTGTGGTGACACATACTGTTAACGCTGCACACTGCAGTACTTAGGGGCATTGAAGTAGGAGGATCGCAAATTCTATCCCTGCCTGGCTAACTTAGTAGGGCCATCTCAGAATAAAAGAATAAATAAATAAAAGGGCTGGGAGCGCTGGCGAGATGGCTCAGTGAACTAAGCGGTGCTTTGGCAAGCACAGGGACCGGGGTTCAATCCCCAGCACCACTTGCCACACCGGCCCCGCCCTGAGCATGCTGAGCTGGCCACTGAATCCAGGCGTGGGCGTGGTGGCACACACCTGTAGTCCCAGCACCAGTGAGGCTGAAAACAGGAGGATCACCACAAGTAGTCCAAGCTGTGTAGTGAGACCCTGTACCAAAAACAGAAATTTAAACAATATTAATTAAACACATGAATTAATAAATAAAAGGGCTGGGAATATAGCTCAATGGTAAAACACCCCTGGGTTCCAACCTCAGAGCTACAAGTAATAATCGTGGTAATGATACTGATGATGATGCTGATGATGCTCACTTGAAGGTAGTGAAGACTTCCTTAATTGACCACCAGTTCAAGGATAAGTTGTTCAGAGCTGGAGGACAGAAAGGTGAGCTGGTCACATGAGGCTCTGACAGTGACAACGGAGAGGCTGGCCTGTCTCCTTGCCCAGCATGCTCTCACCCTTGGGGAAGCTAGGGCGGCTCTGTTGGCTATGACATGACAGATGTGGCCGCAGAGAACTCAGCTGTTTAGCCACCAGTTGCTCCCCTCCCGCCCCATGATCCTACAGGCCACTTTTTGTGGACATATTAAAATGGAAAACTTCAAAGTTTAGCCTGTGAGGGTACAGTCAGATGGAAAGAAAATAAAAACCAACAACCACCTAAGATCTTCAGCGTCATCTAGGTTATTTCTCCCTCACCTACCAGCTACTCTGTGGTGACTCAGGATGGTAGGGAACAACATGACTTCTTTTTAGAAAGGACTTCCCAGCAGGGAAGCAGGTGACAGCCACGAGGCAACTGGTGCACGCAGAACGAGAAAGCTCCACCAGGCTGTTTGTGCATAGCCACTTCATTCTTCTGCAGTGTGTGTAGGAAACCCTCGGGGCTCTGGCGGCAGACCTGAGAAATACCTGTGCGAAGGACTCTAAGGAGGCTCTGATATTCAGACTCAGTGGCAGGAGGGACGTGGATTCCCTTCCCTCCGCCACTGACACACACCAGGCCTCAGGGTAGAAGCTTTCTTTCTGCACTTGTCGCTCACCATTGGGTTTCTTGCTGCTTGCAGTTTGCACTTGTGTTGTCCACAAGCGGTGCCATGAACTCATCATCACGAAGTGCGCTGGACTGAAGAAGCAGGAAACGCCGGATGAGGTAGATATTTACAGCGCGGGCATTCTGGGCTTCCTCTTCCCCTACCTACTGCCTCTCCTGTGGCCCCCAAGCAAACTTCTCTATCCCAACACTGTATTTATTGTGCTGATCAAAAATGAAGGTCATAGGGCCAGCGAGATAGCTCAGCAGACTAAGCGCCTGTTTAGGCAAGCCCAGGGACTGGGGATCGATCCCTGGCACCACATGGCTCACAGGCCCCACTCCCACATGTGCTAAGCCGGCCTCTGAGAACATGCACGCCTGTAATCCCAGCGCTGGGGAAGCTGAAAGCAGGAGGATCACTAGGAGCCCGAGCTGCCTAGTGAGACCCCGTACCAGTTACATAAATTTTAAAAAGCAAGAGCCACATTCAAACCCAGGTGGCCTCTGCATCTGTAATCCCAGAACTCAGGAGAATGAGAAAGTATTGCATAGTTCAAGGCCACCCTGGGTGACAGTGACTTCAGCGCTGGCTGGACTACATAGCAAGACCCTATCTCCAAAAGCCAACAGAACTCCCCACAAACCCAGGGGGTCTGTCCTGGAGCTCGGGCCACTGGCCACCGCACTGTGTTGTCTCTCGGCCTTGGACACTAGCGCATTAAACGGCTTCAGGGAAGTTGCTGGAGCGGAGGAAGTACGAAGATTCAAGCAGGAAGGCCGAGTTTTCCTGGCTGAGGAAGTGGAAGAGTGATGGCGCCACTGATAGATTTGAAAAGCTTTTCTAGGATGATGGCAGGTATAATAGTGGTGTTGCCTGCGGCAGAATAGATGATTTCGAAGGCATACTTTACATTAAAGATTTAAAGACTACTGTATAATCATAGGCCACTAGAATAGGGGGCTGGGTGGATTTATAACCAGCTGGGCTTAGAATCAGGTGGGTTTATACCTTAGCTTCCAAGAGGTGACTTTCTACCCACTTCTTCAAAGTAATTTAACCATGTAGCATCTTGGCATCTAAAACATTTCTCATCCCTTCTCTCCTTTTGCTGCTATACCATCTCTGAGAAGGGGTGTCGGCTAAAGCTTAGTCCGAGCTTGCCATGCTCCTGAAGGGACAGCTGAGCCCTGCGTTATTTGTATGAGGTCCACTGTCTTGGTTAGAAGACAGCCCAGCATCTGACCTCCCAGTTTCCTTACTTTCACAAGAGAACGAAAGGGAGAGACAGCTTGTTTGCTGCCCGACGTCCTTCCTAGGGACATTGACCGTTGAGTGGGCATCCCTGTACAGCAGGCCTTGTGCCATGGCCCGCAGAAGCACAGAACACGTGGGTCCTGCCTGCAAGGATCTCCTGGGGGTGGTCACCTGCGAGCCTTGCAGGTCTCTAAGCCTGTCCTCACTTTCTCGGAGGAGGGCAAAGTCCCACCAGAGTCAGTGTCATGCTGGCTAGAGGGTTGAGACGTGGACTGCGCAGCACCCACTTCATCCATGACCTGCTACTTCTTTCTGTCTTACCTGGAAGAGTGAAGAGTGGAAAGTCTCCTGTGAAGTGTGTTTTCAAATTTGGCACATGTCCTGAGGGATGAGTAGCCATGCACCGAGGCAGGGGGCGCTGGGTTTCTAGCTCGGTGGAGTTGGTTCCCTGCGCTCGTGTCCCCGCCCACCACCGTCCTGCGCTGCCCGAGGCCCGTGGTGGAGATGCAGGTGCCTTCTTCCAGGCGCTGCCCCGCCCTTTCAGAAGCCAGCTCCTTCCTCAGTGCGTCCCCCTCAGTGCGACGCACATGCACACGCATCTGCGTGCACACGCGGACTCCGCAGCCCCCAGCATCATGCCCCTGATGCCCTCCGGCCCAGCAGAGGGTGTTCTGCTGTCACGCGGCCTGGACCCTCCCCATCTCCAGCCCCTGAGTCTCAGGTCTGCGTGTGACACTGAGGACTCACGTCCCTGCCTACACTTCTCGGTGTGATAACCAAGGCACAGCGCATCCCGCATCATCCTCTTTCCGTTCCTGCTTTTCAGTCTGACAGTTCTCTTTCTCCCCCTTTGTCCTCCCTGTGTCGTCCAGAGTGCCCCACTCACCCCTTCTCCTGCGGAGCATGTACGCATGCGTGTCTCCCTGAGCGTGTGCAGGCTTCTCCATCTCCCTGGCTCTGGCCCATGCTCCCTGCCCGGATGCCTCGGGGCCTTCATGGTCCCACCAAGGGTCACCTAGAGGTCCCCAGCTCCACACTGAACTGGTAATCTGGGGCAGCTTCACCTCCAGCTGTCATTCACGTCGTTCTGGGAAATCTGCTTCTGTTCACATCTCCAGGACTGTGAGGCTGGAGCGGGGGCAGGGAGCTCACCTGTCCCGAGGGGCCAGGTCCCGAGGCTGTCAAGCTAGCCTATGGTGGCTACAGATGCTCTCCGTAAACCTAGACAGCTTGTACCCAGGTGGGTTGGTGGAGGGACACTCATCGCGGGGCAGGTGACGGGGAGCTCCTTACTCAGGCCAGAGCCCTGGAGAGAGAATGCACCATGTTCATACTTGTGACCCTGCCTAGCTCTCAGGGGACCTTCTGTTCCCCAGCAGCCGGAAGCCAGCATGCAGCTTGCTCTCCTAATCCTGAAGTCCGAGAGCCACCTCCTTCCAGCCCATCCACACACAGTTACCCATCCCCTGCCCAGCTGTGTGGTTGTGCTACTGCACACATCCGGAGAGTGGCACCATGGAAGGCAGAGGAGAACCAGGGCGGTGGCCTCAGCCCTTACATCTCACCATCCTGTCATGTTAAAGAGGGCGGGAGTGTCATCATTATTTGCCAGATGAGCAGTGCCAGACCCCAAGAAGTCAGGACACCTGCCTGAGACCTCAGGGTGGCTTGTGTCCTGAAGGCCTGGCCCATGCCTGTCCTCTTCCTGCCCTGTGCCACGGCCTCTCTGCTACCTTTATGTAAGTGGGCAAGTGGCCACAGACTCGGTAGAGGAAGTTGTCTCTGCCTCTCCTCAGCCTGCAGGCAGGGCCTGTCTCTCAGTCTCCTCAGTAGGGACCAGGGTCACCGTAGTCCTGAGCCTCAGTGCTGGTGAGGGGTTTGAGGTGATAGGGCCTGGTGTGTGGTGAGAACTGTACCTCAGCACCCCTCAGGTTCCACCCTCTTAGCCTTCTTCTGTCAGCCAGTCCTCTGCCTGGCTGAGGCCTCCATGTACCAAGTAGCTGTGAAGATACATGGAGCTGTCCCATGTGGGGCCTAAGTGCTAGGTGCACACTCTGGGTTGGGCATTACGGTTGTGTTGAAGCCTGGAGGCCTGGAGGGGACATAGCAGGGCCAGGCTCAGCCTGTCCTGTGCTCAGCGCACCCGGCTGCGAGTTAGGTATGTCGGGAGTGAAAGCCTGGTCAGGAGGGCGGTGAGTTCCCTCCGTTTCCCAGGAGGCCTTCAGAGCCAGGCTGGGGCCTCCAGTGACATGTTGCTTCTGAAGAGATGTCTCTGAGGTGCGCGCTGGGCTCAGGCCTCAGGCCTCAGGCGAGGAGGAGCTGGACGGGTGCTGACGCCGTGCTTTCGTTCCCTGCAGGTGGGCTCCCAGCGGTTCAGCGTCAACATGCCACACAAATTTGGGATCCATAACTACAAGGTGCCCACCTTCTGTGACCACTGTGGGTCCTTGCTCTGGGGCCTCTTGCGGCAGGGTTTGCAGTGTAAAGGTGAGTTGCTGCCCCTCCCCCAACCCACGCCTCATTCTGTCCTTGAAAGAAATCCTGGTCTCTTTTTCACAGCCTAGAAAGTGAGCTCCAGAATCGACTAGAGCACAAGCCCTTGTTTCTCGTTTCTTTCTTATCTATTTATTTATTTGGTACAGGGGCTTGCTATGCAGCTCGGACTCATAGTGATCCTCTTGTCTCATCCTCCCCGGTGCTGGGATTACAGGTGTGTGCCACCACACCTGGTTTCGGTGGCCAGCATAGTGTGGCTCTGGGGCCAGCTCTGCATGCAGTACCGGAGACCAAACCCAGTCCTTACGCTTTCCAGGCAGGCGCTTAGATTGCCGAGCTACTTCCCCAGCTCTCATATCTCGTTTCTTACTGGTTATGTCTATTAAGAACTCTAGGCAAGCCAGGAGAGCCCATGATCCAAGCACTTGTGAGGCTGAGGCACGAGGAGGTGGAGTTTGGGGCCAGCCTGCCAATATAGCAGGTGCAAACTGGCCTGGACTGAGTACTGAGATCTGGTCTCAAAAATAGAAGCACTCTGGACAGAGACCATCTGTGAGCACGAGAGGGGAACACAGAGAAGGGAGAAGGTGAGGCCATGTCTCCAGCTAGGTAATGAGGGGGACACAAAGTGAGCCTACAAGTCTAGTGATATCTCGTCTGGGAAAAGACAGTGGAGTTGAAAGGAAGAACTGTTTTTGGAGTTTGGCGGAGAAGTCAGCAGGAGCTGCAGACTGGGGCTGTCTCACGTGATGCAGGTGCAGAGCTCGCTCTGGGAGGAGCCACGCCCAAGTGCTGTCTCACTGGCTGGGCCGTGCCATGGGTGATAGTGTCCTCACGGGAGGAGCTGAGCCTCAGAGGTGAAGTCAGCGGCACACATCACACAGCTCATTGACCGCAGGGAGGCTTGCGCGTCCGCCCTGGACTCAGTCGCAGTGTCCTTCCTCGGCTCCTCCTCTCCCTCACATAGCCTGTCTGCTCTGCCTGCCGCATGTGCTGTAAAGCCTGTAACCCTAGCTGTGTATCCAGGGTGGCTATGTGGAGCCACAAAGAAAGTTCTGCCTCCCTCTGTCCCTCCTGATCCCCTCCCGGCAGCAGCGTATCACGTGGAACGTGGGGATCGTGAGCCATACAGAAACCAGGCTCCAGGGCTCCTGTGTGTGCCTCACAAGTTTCCAGGGTGTCTGACCCCTTGCACCCTTCCCTTGGGCAGTCCTGGCCTCTGCATCGTGCTGTCACCTGCACCAGGAGTTCTCTGGGACCTGCTCCCCCCGAGTCATATTTCTCAGCTGGCACTGGGAGCTGGTGCCTCTGGAGGGAAAGGCGCCTGCACCTGCCGGTTGTCATTTCCTTCTCTAAAGATATGGGTAGCTTCTCGGACCTTCAGCTAAGGCCAAGTGGAGTATCTCGTTAGATTAGTATCTGATTTGGCTTCTCTTTGAGGACACTGTAGGAAATAGATTTTCGGAGCAGAGAGGTGGGTCAGAAGCCTGCTCTGTTCACCCAGTGGGTCGACCTGGTATCGCAGCATCTCCAGGAATGGTGCACCGCTCGGAAAATATAAGGAAAGCAGATACGGCACTATCATGGGCACCTGGCCCACTCTACCCTCCTCTGTCTTTTGCACAGCTGCCCTGAAGCCTTCAGACACCGGGGACTAGTTTAAGAGGAAAGCCAGATCTTCAGACACAGTTTCCTGTGGTACAATGTTTTTAATTCTCCTGCAAGGATGCCCAGAAGGGTTGAATGAGACCTTTAATCTTAGTTTTTCAAGGAATCTGCACATTGATTTCCATGGTGGTTGCCCCATCCTGCACTCCCACCAACAGTGGAGAAGGGCTCCTTTTCCCACGGCTCCTGCAGCATTTGTTATTGGTGGTTTCCTTGATGACAGCCGTTCTTTCTGGGGTGAGATGGAATCTCAGTGTTGTTTTAATTTGCATCGCTTGAATGACCAGTGATGTTGAACTTTTTTTTCATGTATTTATTTTCTTTTTGTATTTTTTTCATCTGAGGAGTGTGTTTTCATCTCAGCTGCCCATTTTTGGACTGAGTCTTTGAATTTAAGGGCCTGATTTTTTTTTTTTTTTTCAGTTTTTATGTGTTCTGGATAGATAGAAATCTTCTTTTCTCAGAGACAACTGCTTATAATTTTTTCCCACTCTGGGGGTTGTCTTTTCAATCTGTTGGTGATTTCTTTTGATGTGCAAAAGGTTTTAAATAAGATGAGATCCCTGTTGTTGATTCTTTGAAGTATTTCCCGTGTGATCTGGGTTTCGTTCATGAGCTCTCTGCCTACCCCTGTGTCTTTTTTCAAGATTTCTGCCTGTTCCCTCTTCCAACAGATGTAGTGTTTCCATTTTAATATTGAGATCTTTGATCCATCTTGAATGTAGTTTAGTGCCTGGCGACAGACATGTCTTCGGCATGTGGAAAGCCAGTTTTTCCAGTACTACATATTAAAGAGGCTATGTCAGCAGTTTGCAAAATGCCCAATATTGTTTTTAAAACAACTAGGCCTCTAATCATAACTCCAACTTTCATTTGTATTTTCAGAATTAAAGAGCACCAGTAACATAAATGCACGCTTGCTGTTGACGATTCAGGCAATCCCTGAGGGAGTGCATCTCTTTGTCCCTTTTCTAGTTCCACTTCCAGACTTAACTGCTACTGAAATTTTTTATGGGCCCTCTCAAGCCCCTGTGTGTGCATTTGCATGTAGCATGGGTGTTTGCAAACAAAACCTCAGCATCTCTTGCTGCATAACAAACTATCCCAAAACTCCCCGGTGGAAAACAACCAATATTCACTTTCTGAGTATCCGTGGCTGAGAAATGAGGTGCAGTTTAGGATACAGGGCCTGTCGCGGGAGTGTGGTGGGCCCCTGGCAGCCTGGGGACCAGCTTCACCAGCCGGACCGCTCCATAGGGCAGCTGGCAGCATGAGGGCTGCCTTCCTTCAGAGCAAGCAGGCAGCGAGAAAGTAAGACGATGCCCAAAGGACGAACCCAGCCTCACAAGGCACGTCCTGGCACTTGTGGCATTTTCTGTCCTCAGAAGAGAGTCACTAGGGCCAGCCCATACTCTGCGGGAGCAGTGGACTCTGAGTCAGGGGTTGCGGGAACCAGCTGAGGCACTGTCCACGATACCCACATGCCCCTGCCCCCCACTCACGGATATGATTGCTGTGAGGTCTCCCCCGAGCGGCCTGCTCTCAGCCCAGCGGAGTGGCACACAGCTGAACTCCTAGCACTCTGGAAGGCCGAGGCAGGAGGATCACAAGTTCAATCCTAGCCTGGATAAATGAGTGACTAAGCAAGACCCTGTCTCAAAATATAAAATTGATGAAGGCCGTGGGGCGTAGCTCACTGCAAAGGCCTGTGTTTGATCTCCAGTCCTGGAGAAGGGAGCCAGAGGCAAACACCTGTCTGTCTGTCTGTCTGTCTGTCTGTCTGTCTTGTTCTCTGCTGCTTTCCCAGTACCTAGAAAGCACCTGGCACATTAGTATTCAATAGATACGTGTTAATTAAATGTTCTGTAATTTACTTTTCATAGGTATGTTTCAAAGTATTTCCAAGACAGTGCATATCTGTGTATCCTACTTTTTTTTTTTTTAAAAATGAGTAACATTTTTTTCAAGGGGTACCAGGGATTGAACTCAGGACTTTGAGCTTGCCAGGCAGGCACTTGTGCCACTGAGCCATCTCCCCAGCCCTTTCCTTTTTTTAATGACACCTAACAGTCTCCACCATTATGGAGGTTTCCCTCCATCACCTTCTTGGTGGGCATGTATTTCTGTGTTGTCGCCGTTTAATTAAGGCTGCCACAAACATCCCCATACACATCTTCACCCACATGCACAAAAAATTGCTGACGGAAGGCTCCTAGACAGCGCATTTTCAAAGCCTACCCCTCCTTTTCATGTTTGAATTAGGTAAGGAAGCCATAACACAAGGGTGCTTTTAATTATCGTGTGTGTGTTTTAGAACAGCCACGTGAGCCGCCCGTGCCTCTGTTGCATTGGCGTTTAACTTTGCATGGTCAGCAAGAGCCTGTGGCGTGAGTTTGGGATTTCAGTTACCTGCTGCCTGCTGGGCTCCCGTCTGAGGGGTTGTTTCTGCTGCCCGAGTACACACTGCATGTTCCAGAGAGTTGGAATGTTCTGGAAAGCACGGCAGCTGGCTTTGTGCAGGACGTCAGGGGAGGCTGAAGGTAGGACAAGCTCTGCTTGCCTACAGCACATTAAGAGGTAGTAATAATTCAAGCAGTGAATCAGAAACACGTGTGCATAGTGGAAGGGCCCGAGGAGCCAGTGTGCCTGGAAAGCTCAGCAAAGGCTTCAGAGGAGCGAGGCTTGAGCCGCCCCAGAGGGTGGGCACAGGTGTGGAAAGATGTGGGGAGCAGGCCGCGGGCAAAGGACAAGAGGAGGAGAGTGGGCCAGGCTTGGCACTGCTGCCGCCGGCTGGTTCTGGGCCACGTCGGGACCCTTTCCAGGGGTATTTGATGGTGCCGGGGGAGACTACGCGATGCACCCCTCCAATTACTAGATTAGCTTAATCTGAAGAACCTCTGGAGCATGGACATGCAAGTGCCTGCTCAGGAATGGCTTTGTCATTGTCCTCAGAACGTCTCCTTGCTCTAGAATTCCTGCTGGCCTGCCCCTCCTCACTGCAGTCATGACTTTAATCTCACCAAAGGGCATGAACATGGAGCCAGCATCTCTCCAGAGGACATTAGGGTGTCCAGTATGGAGCGTGAAGGGCAGTACACGCATCCCCACGCTGGCCTGAGACTGCTGCCGCCACAGCCCCACCCGACACACAGTAGCTATGCAGCAGACACCCAGCTGGGCACTGTGGAATGGGGATGGTTTTTTCCCAAAAGCTCTGTCCAGGCAAAGCAGCATCATTTCTTCTCCATAGAGCTTCATCTGAGTAAAACCTGTGTGCATGCGCTCTAGCTGGCCTCTGGACGGAGCCTTCCAGGGCAGCCCCGGGCTCCTGGTTTTGGTGTCTCCAACGGAACAGAAGAGGGTGACGGAGATGGCCAGTGTGACCACATTCATGTGATTGCACCCCAGCTTTCTTTTGGTTCCAGCTGGCCCACCTGTGCCTTCTGAGGGTCGGTTACCCCGCCTCCTGGAGTCACCCCTGCTCCCTCTGCTGTCTGCGTCAGCCCTGGCTTTGCCTTTAGTGGTCCTGGCTTTTCAAAGCACTTCCATTGTCTTGCATTGTCTATTCTGACATGTGATTGGAAATTTTTAAAACATATTAAGACAAGGATATAGCTGCCCTGGGGAAATGACAGAACATTTGCAAATAAAAAGCAAAGTCCTCTGACAACCTTTTCTGCTTTGCAAACCCGGTGTGGAGATGGACTGCTGTGGCATTTCAACACCAGAGGGCGCCAGTAGTTAAATTATGTGGACAAGTTGCCCTTGCCTCAAAATTCTGTCAGTGTGGTCCCTTTCTTCTTCTTCTTCTTCTTCTTCTTCTTCTTCTTCTTCTTCTTCTTCTTCTTCTTCTTCTTCTTCTTCTTCTTCTTCTTCTTCTTCT